CCCATTAAAGCTACAACGATTATTTGGATGTTCAGAAAAAGAGAAACAGCTTTTCAATATAGTTTTCTGGTTTCGAGCAGTGGGAGAGGGAGCAAAAGTGAATCACTTTTACTTCATGAAAAACAGTATTAGCATACGAAATGTAATTTTCAGGGTAGATTTTTGCCATCAAATGTGGGAGTAATTTCCACTTTGTCTATTTCCACATATAAAGCAAGGGCTTGGCTCTCCTCCACTCCATATTCGATCATGAAACTCCATTTGAAGAGGTTATAGCTAACTCATCCAGTTAAGTAATGTGGATTAACATTCCTCCCTGCCTCAGAGTAGGAAAGTGAGGAAGAAAGATATAGAGAGGAACGGGTGGCAAGAGAAGCGCCATAGCAGAAAGCTTTACTCCCAAAGCAGTATATTACGTAGGCTACCTCCATTGTAAATAAAAGCCGATTTAAGGAGGACAGAGATAATCCAAACAAACCCCAAAAAACCATCCGGAGATAATTCATCAGTACCCTCCCCAGGGAGGGGAGGATTGCTTTATACTCGCAATACACTCAAAAGCCAGAGAACAGAAAATATTAAAACGCTATCAAACGATCGGCTTCATAAACAAGTCAAACATAATTCAATCATGCTCCTATTAGTCAACCAAACGCCAGTTACATATACCATCAGGCCATCCTTTCTCAAAAGATGTTAATACCACACACTCAGTACAGTAACAGGCAGTGGAAACATTATTCTTTAGATTACTGAATGGGCAAAAAAAAAAAGCTAGAACTCTTGACTTTCGATCACAGTGGACAGACGCATATTATGATGTATTTTAGTGTTTTGTAAGAGGCAATTAAGAAACATTGAAGTATTGTTTGCTCAGGCCGGAAACATTGGCCATGCACCCTCAATTAAACCTAAATGCTTAACAATTGTTTGCCCAAAACACGTTATGCATCTCTTATCCTTAAATTGACCTAAACCATTGACAGGGTGGATTGGGGCACAATAGCTATCCAGCTGACTAGTTAAGACCCCCTATTGTCTGCCAATAGAGTCAAGTCGTTCCCCGTGCAGAGCCCTCACAGTGACAATAGGACGATAATCTAAAAACCAACCATCATTTACATGAGAGGGGAGGCTGAATGAAGGCAAACAGCTCTGCTTTATAAAACAGTTTGAGGACATTTATGAGATTACTTTAGCAGTAGAAAGACAAATAGGGGTGCCCTTAAGATATACGAGCCCATGTGAACACAATGACGGATGACTTCAACTGCATTTAAAGTGCAATAAAGTCAGCGTAATGCCCAAAACGCGCACATGCAAAACAGTCCCCAGAAAGGTTTTCCAAGCTTGATATATTACATCGTTTAATTCACGCGTGTTGGGATGAACCGCAGATTAAGTGAGGCCAGCAGGGAAGCAGAGGAAGGACGGGAATGATTACCGAGGGAAGGGGGGGGGGGGGGGGAGTGTCTTGAGACTCACCAGACGCGCTCATGTCCAGGACGCTTTGGAGGAGCAGGGCGATCCAGAGAGCGCAGGCTGGACATCTCCAGAGGCGCTGGCTCGACGCTGCCCGAGTTGGATACATTCCTCCGGCTCTGTCTTAAAAAAAAAACTTTCGTCCGCTTTTCACATCCACTACACTCAAGACTTAATTTCGAGCCCCTTCCAAAAAAAAAAAGAAAAATTCAAAATGCACGAGTCAAAGCGCCTTGAGAAGTTGTGCTCTGTTTAAAGCGCACCAAAACCCGAGAAAAATGTGAGTCTGGATGAAAGTTGTCTCCGTCTCCCCTGGTTTCTGTCTCTGTCCTCCTCGCTGGAGCCCAGCACACTTTCCCCTTCTCCGTCTCTCTCTTCAACTGAGCGCAATCCTTCCTGCAATCTTCACCGGAGTGACTTGTGCCCACAGGAGCCACATGGCTCTGATTAGCCACGTGTCGCCACCCTGTGTTCGCTACAGGAACTGTCACAGGGCAGGCGGAGACGTTTCACTTGGAGAAATGCGTTTAGCTGACATGAGAGTGTTCAGGACCTACACATCAAGAGCCTTTTTAGGGGCCACAAGAATTTTATTTTTTTACAAAGCTGCAGAACAGCTTCTAAATGGATGACTTTGTCAACTGCTGTACTGTTTGCAAAGCCAAGAATAAATTTTCAATCTTGACTTCACAGCCAACATGGAGGAGAAGTCCCGGGGAAAAATGGAAATATGGAAATATACAATTCCAACTGGGAAAACTCCATTTCCAGAGAAATGCCGTGTGATAGAGTTGAAAGCTTGTGAACGTTATGGTGAGATTGTTTCGTCAACTACAGTGTCTAAGGTCAAGAATGAATTTCAATCTCTTTCTTTCTGGTTAAATGTTGCAAATTAAACTGCAAATTAAGACAATTAAATGACTCAAAGACAAAAAGTAATAAAACCTGATAAAGTGGCTGCAAATGTGGCATGATACATATGTACAAAAAAAGTATGAAAAAGGGAAACATGTTTTAAACTTTAATAAAAGATGTTGTTATGCAGCGAGGATGGGATTTGAGGATATGCTCTTGACACATTAACAAAATCAGAGAGTGTATCTTTAAACACCTAAAATAAATGAAGTAACCCAAAGAAAGCCTCTCAGTCCGCTGTTTGGGCCCTCTCTGGTTCACATGATTTACGAGGTCCAGTATTTACAAGAATCAAAATATTCTCCAATGAAAAAATCAGGGAACATGAATAGTGAATTCAGCATGGCCTTATACATGCACTTTGTTACGCTCGTGATATTTCCAAGAATATTCCAACACAGGCTTAGCTTTTCTGCAATAATTGTACAGCATCTACTGCACCATTTACTGTCATTTGTAAGTTACATAACAACAAAGTTATGTGAATTAATAAACAACTGTTAATGGAGCTGAATTGATGGCCTTAGATGATCTGAAAATGATCCATTTGGACCTGATCAGATGATCACAAGAGGTGACTTTAGCAAGTAGACCAACTTTTTTTATAATAACTAGACAAACTACCCGCCATATTAAAACCATATCCAAATGTTTAACTCAGTGAGCTATATTTCATTTCTATCTGTGTATCACATGTACAAAGACAGACAGATGAGTGAAGGAAAAGAAAGAAGGAATGTAAAGAAAGGAGAATAAGGTTACTTTGTTGTGAACAATACCGTCTGCAGACACACTACATACACACACACACGCACACACCTTTATACAATTATTAATTCCAGAGCCGTACAGTATTATTAACCCACCTCACCTTCTCCTCTATAACTCCACACCTTGTTTCATTTTACTCCATTCACTTCTGGATTTTGACACATACTTTGTCTCTGCATGTGTGTCCGCACACACGGAGCCCTTTGACAGACTAATACCGGGGCAGGAAAAGAATGGTTGCAATTTAGCATCTCCGGTTCTCCCATATTGTGACCTACCCCTGCTCATTAGAGGGAAATATCATCCTCTCTGAAGTATGTTTTGATTTAACTGTTACAGAGAGCAGGGATAGCAGGACTGAAAAATGCTTTCGACTGGATTTTCAATTGGTAGATCTGAGGGAGGGTGTAGCGGGCTGCTCACGGCTGTTATCCTTGCTCCTTGTCAGGTCCAGGGGTCCAGGACATGGTCCATACCCGCTACTAAGGAGTCCTAATCAAAACCTTCCTTCCCCTTCTCTCCCTGCATACTCAGTCATCCCTGGAGAGATGCTGCTAACCGGAGTTTAGAGATAACACTGAACAAGGTTCCTGCAAACCATTAGTTAGGATAAGGGTGTGTCCTAGTGTGGGTTTGGGGGGGGGGGGGGGGGATTAAAACCTTAAAATTCCTGTTAAAATAATGTCAGCAGGCTTCTGTGTCGGTTCGGGAATTCCTGTTTAACTCTATACTGTAGGTTAACACATCTTTGCACTTGTTACTTCAGTGGTTGAGGACATTAAGAAAATGGTGATTATGAGAGTTGAGGGATGCAAAGCAGCAGTTTGATAGCTGCCAAAGGTCTGATCAAAACCAGGGCTGTGGTCATTTAAAGCAGTTCAAGAGACTGCAGTTCATTTGCTAATGATGATTGAGGTTTCAGTCTCACTTAAATGGGTTGGACGTAACAATTCCTTCATGCCGAAAGTTGTGATTTTGAAAAAAGTGGAATTTTAAAGAATACATTTCTTCTTGATTTAATTGAATTGTGAGTGAAATGTACCATTGAGATATGTGCACTCTTAGCTCTAACGTCTTAAAACTGCAGTCTGCAACTCTAAGGACTTTGAGTGCTTTTTGCCATGCATGGGTATCTATAAGCTTCTTTTGGACCGCAGCAAGACAGAGTCACACCAAAAGTGTGTGACATTGCATGTGCAGATGTGTATGATTTCACATAACATTTCAATAAACACAACAAAGGGCTTTTGTGCTCCAGGGGTGTCACGTGGAGAGCAAATTCAAACAAAGTAACTATAAATAACTGTCAAACCAAATGAAATTGGGCATGAGTGATTGCAGTGCAGTTTGGAGAAACGTATGATGTGATGTACACATCACATGTCAGCTGTGTTTTTTCTACTAAGGCGCCATTTTACATTTCCTGTTTAAGCAGCCAAATGAATTTAACCTAAGCTGTGTTTGGTGGTTTACTTTGTAATAAAGGCCGTCAGAGAAGTGGAAGGGGTTCTGAAGGGGGGGGGGGGGTAGACCCCACCACTGGGCCGATCAAGTAGCGAGATTGTTTCTGACGTTGGCCTATTTTTCCTCCTTGATGTCTATCGACTTCGTTTTGCCTAAAGTAGGATATGATTATTAAAATTGCAACCATGCATGGTGAAAGTCATCTAACTTTCATGGTGGAGTGGATTAGGGTTCTGAAGGTCTCTTTGAAGAGCAGATCCCCGAGGCTTTCTCCAGCGGCCACAGCACATGGACAGGGAGGCCCTTTGTTTCAAAGTTGGCAAAAATGTCTGAGTCAATAAAAGAGAATGAAAGGATGAGGGTGATGATGGCCTTTCTGCCACATTTACTCAGTATTATTATTTTTTATGTTTCTCCAAAACTTTCTCTCTGTCTCTTTTCCTTCACATCCTCAGATGACTTTAATAATTTGGGTTTCAATCTTATTTTCCTTTGCCATCTTCTAAAAATGTGCTAGCATTTTGCGCATTCTTCAATCAGCGGATAACTCGAGACAGTTAAGACATCATTAAATGGCTTACAGACAACATTGGCCTCACTGCATCCTTTGCATCTGCCTGTCCAACCACCATCTCCGTCAAAATGTAAGTCTGTGCTACATATTGCACATTCCGTAACTGTTACTCTATTCCCACAGGATGTCTTTTTGAGCATACTGCACCCAGTGCTAATATGCAGGATTTCCAGGCCAATAGTCTAGTCTCCAAGCATTAAAAGAATGGGAACTCTTCAGCAGGCAACATGCTACTGATACAGTTTTAAACATGGAACACTGCAAAAGCATCTACTTTCCGAAGATTCATTTCAAAACCTTTCAGAAACCTTTTCAAGAATATAGGTCAATGTTAAAGCCAAAGCAACTTTATACTCTCCTGCTCTACAGGGGCCTCCAAGTATGTGAAGTTTCAGGCAGCAGAATAATAATTGCTTGTGAGGAACACATGTAAAACACAATTCACTGTTTTGATTGTGTGCTACATCTTCCCTCTTTTGTTTGTATTTGTAGTGCAGCACATATGGAACATGTAGGGTGATAAAAGAACTGCTTGTTGTTGTACATTTAAGATTAAATCTGGTTAAAAGAGGACAAAAACACATCGCACTGTTAACAGTGTAATAGATAAGCTTATAGCATGTTGAGTATTTCTGTACAATATAAAGCTTCAATATCCAGTTTCTCTCTCTCATCTCAGTTCCTCCATCCAAAAGGTCTCTCCATCAAACACACAGGACAATGGACCGTATAAGTGATTGAGATCGAGCGGCATTTGCTGGTTTAGTAAATAGAATTTAAAATAGTTATGCGACATGCCCAGTAAGAGGGAACATTTTGGAGGGAAAACACAAAAAAAGCAGTAATGTGCATCTGTTTCAAGGTGGACATGATTCATGTATATGCAGGCATGTATATCCTACAGCACTGACAATTCATACATGGCATGGACTTTTAACTGGGACTATTCAAGTGCCCCCTTAGTGTTATTTAATGAAGTAGATGTACTTGCATGATGATGAGTAGGAATATGCCTTACGGTAAACCTAAAGTTGTCGTATTTTGCTACATGTCTTCTTAGTTGGTTAGCTAACATTACCGTAGCCACCGGTACATCCGGGTACTTGTTTTTGAGAGCGCTAGTGATTAATAATAATCAATGATTAATAAGGAAAACACAAGGTGTATTGCTCAGATAACAACATTGGGACAAATTAAAGTAAATGCTCAGTGTTTGTTGTTGAATGGATCTCAGATGTTCTATTGAGGTTGGTTGGTTTACCAACAGGGGAAAGGGGAAGCTGTTTCATTGAGTCCCAGTTCCCCATTTGTTTGGTAATATGCACTACTAAAGCAGAATATAGACATGATGAGGTGGACTCTGCTTGAAGGGCCCACCTCTGTGAAAAACTAGCTTTAATTTAAGGATATTTTTTTTAAGGAAACTCACCTATTAAATGTCCTTAGCCTGCAATATTGATGGATAACACAGATGTATCAGTAGAGGGTGCAGTACCAAATGTCAAGTCATGGCAACACTATATAGGAAGTATAGTGGAAAGAACCACAAGGAGCAGAGCCACGGCCTGTTCCTGAGTCCTTCTTTGACTATATACTTTAAGAATGATGTCTTTGTCCACCGCGTTGCCCTCTTGCA